GACTATGACTGTTCTTTATCACGCCTACCGGAACCAAACTGGAAAAGAGACTTAAAATACATGTGGAAGTCTTTCGTCTTCTGTACCGCTGACAGTTGAATCTATCAAATGAGAAAGCGTTCGCAGTGACCAGGGAACTGCTTGAGTGAAGCGTTCCCCGAGGCTATGGCGGGAAATTCTGCTAAGGACGGGGACGTACATTACAGAAGCATGGTCACCCTTGCCTGTATGTGGCGGAGCAATTAGAAAGCGCCATATCCCATTCGGGTGGGGTACTCACCGGCACAGCTAGGCAGACTATAGCACCACAAACGTTGACTAGACTGGTGTGGGGTTAACTAGGCAATAGTTTTATAGAAGATAAATTAAACGGCACTGCTGTGTTCTTAAATTTAGTAATAAGAGCAAGGACAGTAAAAATTCCTGTGTATTTTTGTAACCCAGGTAAATGGGATCACATTGTACAGTTGGGAGACAGCTTTTAATTAGAAGCTCTATTTAAGTTAGCTATCAATATGGAGGTTCAGAAAGAAACGGTTTTCTGCCTCTCATGCAGCCTCCAAGCCTCAAGAGACAGAGTGGTTTTTTTTGCTCAACCGTCTCCGGAAACTGTGAGGGATCGGCCCCTTGAGCGGTTATCTGCTCATGGTGGGATTGTGTCATCAACACCCTGTCACAGTCAGCATACAAGTGGAGGGCATTCTTCCACTTTTGAAACTTCAGACATAGTATCCAAATACTATGTCTGAGTACATGGCAAGGGCACGGTATGCCTTTGCCCAACCGTAAAGTTTATATTCTAAATGGTCTTGTACCTTTGAGTAGGGCACAGTAAAGTTAAGCCCTTCAACATAATTAGATCTACGATGGGCCGGAATTTCCTCTAGAGGGCACGGTGAAACTGTGTTCCTTCTAGGGGTCGCTTATGCTTAAGGGGTGACCCGACCTTGTCCAACTCCACCAGAGAATAATCATCTCCAGCATCATAAACAACACCAGATCCGGATCTGATGCTCAAGAATGACCACCTCATCCATGATTCCTGATCAGCAGCTTCAAACCTCAAGAGGGAGCCTTCATCAAACGGCGAAAAGTGTGGTGAGTTTTGGGGAGAGTTATTTCCCTTAGACCGCTAACCGCGCCGACAACATTGATGTGACATCTCGGCGCGGTCTCTTACATCCTGACTTCAATATGAACACACGCATATTATAATTCTAATATTCTGAGAGCAATACTCAACTTCATGTTGTGACAGCGTGGGATAACACAAACCAAAATCACGACAACGGTTTATGTCATCTCTTGATACACAGTCCAAATTTCAATTCTTCCCTTATTGGCCCAGGCGAGGGACAGATCAAGCACAGTAGTTCTATTTCAAAACTGCTTCCAATCTGTATGTAACAAAATTACACCATTTATAACCGATTTGTTGTAAATGATGCAGACAATGAAAATTCTAAAACGACACAGTGTTGTCACATATAGCCACTGGCTTTGTTATTCTAGTAAGAGGATGAGAACTCATTATCTAATTCCACAAACAAATAGTTACTGATATGTTCTTATATAGAAATCAACTATTTGCTTAAAATAATATCCTGTTTATGAACTTGTCATCACCTACTTAAGTCTTCTATTACACACAAACATCCACTGAAGAGTATGCGTATTGACATGGTATTGTTTTATAATAAAGAAAGCGAAAAGTCATTATTGTCAGAGAAAATAATGAATAATGGGTTTTTTTCCGCATTTGGAAAATCACTGGGGCGGTGCCAATGACAGTATCAATATCTCATCCGCTAGTTACTCTCTTTAGTTACACTTCGATCCTACTTTAATTTTCATTTTGTGCTGGTTTTGAATTATTGTCGATTTAAAGTTTTGATAAAAACAGTTCAAAACATACTATAACTACATTGTATCATGTACTGTGCATAGGGGAATTTTCGCCGCAGTTTAATATTTTGGCTTTTTGACCCTCTGTAATGAGGGCAAATTTATCTAACTAGTAATTTTGGTTTGTTTGTGTTTTACGTCCTATTAACAGCTATGGTCATTTAAGGACGTGCTAGGTTTTAATGGTGGAGGAAAGCTGGAGTTCCCGGAGAAAAACCACCGACCAACGGCCAGTACCTGGCGACTGCCTCACGCTGGTCTCGAACCCGCGACCCAGTGATGGAGGGCTAGTGGTAGCAATGTCAGACGCGTTAACCTATTGGCCACCGCGGTAAAACTAGTAAAAAGATGTACACAATATACTACATATAGTAATAACATTTGAAAGGCAAACTTAACAATGCGCGAAAACAGGTTATACAAGTCGAGGGTGGAAAATTGACTGGGCGACAGTTTCTCGGTATACAGCGTTTTAATATATCTTAATTTATGACATCTGTGTGCCATTTTCTTAGGTTACCACGTAACTCTTCTGTGCGATATAATTAATATATTTACACAAATTGTTCAAATATATGTAACTGTTTATAGTAGGAAAATAAATATAAATTCGAAATAGGAGCTGAATATGGACCCCACTTATATAAACAATAAAAAGCATTGTTTGACAACTCGAACCTTGCCTAGCTTCACCACTGTAGAACCGGTTGTATTTACGTGTTTACGCACATGGTTAGATCGTAAGCAATAACACGGAGACGAAGGGCATAAGATTCCCTCTCTGTCTGATCATTACAACCAAAACTTCTTACAACATCCTATGTCTAATTTTTTATTATTTTGTCAGCTGATTTTTCCTGACTTTTGTAGTCCAGTCAGTATTAGTTTTTACATCAAACTGTTTACAAAAGAAAGGACACTTCGTCTTGTTGTTTTTTCTCTTCTTTACAATGTTGATACTGTGTCTTTATAAGAGCAGAAACATATACAGAATATACCTTTTGTGAAACTGCGCTTGCCATCTCGTTGTGGGGAAAAATATAATAATACGTCAACCATAAGAGAGGTCGAATTCTAACTATTTTGTAATAATTGATGATGGGAACTCAAGCATATAGCAAGACTAACTGAAGTAAAAAAACAATTTTTGCAGTTTTCTCTTTATGTTTCTGTTCCCAAAAAAGTCATGGTTGTCCTCTTACCGAGAACCGAGGTTATGGCAACAAAACAAAAATGAAACACTTACGAGTATAACAAAAAAATATACAACCTGCATACCACATAATGAAAAAAAAAATCAAAATTAGATATAGTTTTGGTAGCAAAGGTGTTGCTGTCAAGAAATGGAAAGTTCACGATCGAAATATTAAAACATCCCGCTTATCGTTTAGCTGGTTGTAAGCCATCTCTGTTGCTTGTGTTGTAAACCAAGATCTAGCCGGAAAGTGGTTGAGGTAGAAGTGTCTGTAGTGTCCTTGAGTTCAAGCTTAGCAGAGTATATACATGTACCATCAACGTGTTCTATTTGTTGTTCTATTTTTTTTTTATCTATTTCGGAGTGTGAAATTGAAAGAATTGTCTAGGTTCGTGTTACTTGTCCTTTAATAAAAACTTAAATGAATCCAGCGTTATAAGTAAAACATAAACAAGACAGGCGTAGTTTGTTCCAATATCTTCCCACCGCATTACACAGAGATATTGTCAACCAGGAACTCAATCATTCTCGTTCATTAATTTTATCCTCAGAATGGGAAATCAGGATGTTAAGTTTCTAAATGCCTAAATGCTCGTTCTTTGTGACAAACGACGTACACACATTAGACCAATTTATAACTAGATGTGAGCAAGATCACAAACATATATCCCCGTTTGCGCTTATTCTTGTTTTTAGAGTAAGAATTAAAATGTCTAAATAAGATATATACAGTCTCCAGGGCACACGCGATTGGTATGGGAATATAAGCTTCAAAGTCAGATAAAGAGGATATCTTAAAATGTCTTCAGTAATGCCTGTGCAAAGATATTAAATTATTAGCCACATCGTGAAATATATTTGGCATAGCTGAAGACACTACAAAGTATACTGTTTATTACATTTTTTACGAAAACCTATCCCGGGGTTGGAAACAAAACATCAAGCTGACAATACTTGATCTTTATCCTTTTACCAACAGCATGTTAAGACAACCCTACGCGACAAAACAAAGTCCTCTCTGCAACTTTTTGATATAATGTAAATAGACTAATCTGTAAGTCCCTATACTTATTTATTCAGATAAAGTAAGTACTTTAGTTTATATTGAATTTGTCAATTGAAGTTAAAGCAGTCCGCCTTAACTGTGTTAAATCTCTGATGTAACGGATATTCCGTTTCACAGACCTCGAATTACATAAAGTTATCAAAGTCAGGTTATTGTTTTTCTGCTCATTATGAAATTGCTCATACCATTTTTTATGCCGGAATTCCATTATAACATTTCCCATTTTTTTGTTTTTAGCCAGGCTTTATTTCATTGTTTCAGCTATATCCCCAGGTCCCGTTTTTGTCATTGTGTATCGCATTCGTGATCAGATCATGTTCTTGTGTTTTCTATTTTCGCATTCGTTAAGTTAAGAAAGTTCAGCAGATATCTTTTAAAATTCACATAACGACGCCTAGTTTCAGACAGAAGTTTCTTCAGCTACAGCCAGCTGTACAATATACACCACTGGAGGATCACGTGATTATTAAGACAACCAATCAACAAAAAAATGAAATAAAATTATTTATTTTCAGAATGGCACTAAGCAGTCACAAAGTTAAAGATGAAACCTTCTTCCCATCTCATATTCTTCTAAAAAGAAAGCACGACTTGTGTCGACCAATATTACATTGCAATAATTATTTTATATATAAAATCTTAAATGCAACAGCAAATGTCTGCATGCATGTAGTATCATGTCATCATAAAGTTTGACTATTCTCCCAATGTAAGATTGTTCCATGTTATATCGTAATACCCCCCCCCCCCCCCCCCCCC